GGGCTGCTGTGTGTGTGTGGCCGGGCCTTCTCTGCCCACCTCTGCCTCCCTGCGTCTGCGGACCAGGTCCAAGTGTCCCCCGGGGCCGTCCCATCGCCTCCCCTGCTCCGTGGCTTCTCTGTCCCTCAGTGCTCTTCGGACAAGGAGAGAGGTGACCCAGCCACACGCACACTCTTCCCACAAGGCCTGCGGACCCTCTCTTAGCAAAGGGCAGGGCAGATATGTGTACTCTTCACCCAGGCTCCCCTCTCCCCCTTCCTCAGTGAGAAACTGCAGCCTGGGACCCCTTCACTAAGCAAAGAGGTAAATTTGGGGAGAAGATGTCCGGTTCCTGCAGCCATCCACCAGCCATGGCTGCTCTCCATAACTCACATGTTATGGTCGATGGTAAAGAACAGGCAAAAAGCAAAAACACTGTCCCAGGCGCTTGATGCATGTTAATTCACTTAATCTTCATGAAGATATTTTAGGGTAAGTGATAAAAAAAAAGTATTATTCTCATTTCACAGATGAGGATACTGAAGCACAGAGTGGTGGAATAACTTGCCCCAATCGCGCCCTGGGAAGAGGCAGGGTTGGCGTGAGAGCCCGAGGTGGTGATGACTAAGGGGTGTGTCACGCTGTCGACTGGTTTTACATTCACGCCTGAGTCTGTCCGAGCGTGACGGCTCACCCTCGCTGCGAGTCCCCCAGCCCGGCACAGGGCTAAGTGCTTCGCGTGTATCACCACCTCGTTTCCTCCTCGTGGCCATCACCGTTGGCTTCCTGCCCACAGCCCTCCCCTCGTCTCTACCCCATCTTCGCCCCACAATGGTGCTCAGGGAAGACAACTCCAGCCCTGGCCCCAGAGGTAAGTTACAGTTGCTCTCAGCCCATCGTGGCAATGTTATCGCCCCTGACTGGCTTAGACATGGATTTGTGGCTGAATCCTGGAAAATGGGGAAATCTGTCAAGCGGAGAGAGAGGGGCTTCTAGGAAGTTCTTCCTTGCTTTCAAAAGGGGACATGAAGCAGTAACTTGCCTCGGCCTGCCTTTCGATATTGGATGAGGACGTGATGTCGGGAGCTGCAGCAGCAGCCTTGTGACCTTGAGGGGAAGATACATTGTAAAGAAGCAGATCTAGAACTGTGTGCGTGAGCCCGAGCCGGGGTTCTCTTACTGAGCTCTGTCAACCCCGAGAGTCACGGGAGGCAATAATGAAATATTGAACTGTTATGTTTTAAACCATTACAGCTGGAGTGATTTACTCTGCCGGAAGTCAGAACAGTAGGTGCTTCATATATATTTGGTGAATTAAATGTACCAGGTACATGATCAGGTGATTTTATTTTATTTTATTTTTTTGAGAAGTGACCATGTAAAAGAATCCATCAAATGTCCATCAAGTGGCAGTGACCTCAGGTGCCCTGGAGCGGGTCACCTCTGCTCCAGAGAGGTCCTCAATGGCCTCCCTTAGACACCACCATGTAAGGTGAGAGGTGAAATACAAGTGACCTGAATCTGGCCTACCCAATAGTCTCTGGAACGTCACCCATAGCTTAGGATCCTCGCCAGCCCAGCCTGTGGACACTTAGCAGAGTATTTGGTGACTTGTCTTCAAGTGGCAGATTACCAGTTCTTGCCTGGAGAATGTCATCGAATGTCATCAGCTCTGCCTCAGGGTGCCTGCAGGGTGGAGGGCAGAATTCCAGGAGGAAGGTTGCTGGACAAAGATGTGTCATCCTGCCCTAAAGGCATACCGAGATCACATCTGGGAGGCTAGTGACAGAGGCAGCACCAGAAGCCACCGCAGGGGGACATATCAGGCCCTCCAGCCCTCTTCCCACGCACATTTGCAGCTGGACGCCCACTCCCCTCCCCGGACTGAGCTGGCCCCTGAGTTAGTCACCTGGCTGGGGGTAATAGGAAGGAGGGCCTGAAAGCCCTCTTCCCACGCACATTTGCAGCTGGACGCCCCCCACCCCCCCGGACTGAGCTGGCCCCTGAGTTAGTCAGCTGGGTGGGGGTAACAGGAAGGAGGGCCTGAAGAAGAAGCAGATTTCCTGCTAATACGAAAATGGACGCTCAGGATGGTTTTACTTTGAAAAACGTGGGAGTTAGGAGACTATGCTTCTCCGAGCTGGTGAGGCACGCCACGTGGCTTGCATTAACCTTTACCTCCCTCGAGGCAGGGAGCAGTTAGGAGTACAGGCCCTGGGTGCAATCCCAGCTCTACCCGTTCTCAGTGGGGTGATTTTAGGCAAGTCGCTTAAACTCTCTTTGTCTTCATTTTCCCTGTCTATGAAACAGGGATGAAGATTGTAATAGTCGGGGTCCCCCAGAGGAACAGAACCAATGGAACAGACATACAGATGGGTTTATGTTAAGGAGCTGGCTCATGCGATAGGGGACCTGGCTTGTCTAAGATCTACAGGGCAGAACCCCATTCCAACCCTACCCCTACCGACTGCACCCTTCCCCCTACCCAGTGCTCAAAACCTCTTCTCAACGCCCAGGCATCTTACCCTGGCACAGAAGACACTCGACCCCGCAGAGCTGTCTGGAAAGCCGCCCCTCATTTCCCCACACTGCGGGCTCCAGCTCTACTTGCTGTTTTTTTTTCTTCCCTCCCACACTCTCTAGGGACGATCAACTCCTGCCCAGCCTGCAAGACCCCACGTTCACGGATGCCCCGTAGGCGCTACTGACCGTCTCTCCCTGATCTGCTGATCCCTGTGCCCTGTAGACGCTCCTCTATCCCTCCCTCTCCCTCTGGATCACAAACCGCCTGAGGCCGGAGGCTTTTTCTTCTTCGCCTTTGTTCGTTCTTGTCCAGCTGTGCCTGGCACAGAGGCATTGGGTCAATGTCGTCGAGCGGTCCCAGCCAGCCGTCGTGCCGTCCGTCCGTCCATTCTCGTTTGTGTCCGGTGATGAGGGGCTCCCTTCTCCCCAGGCAGCCAGTTCTCCTTCCAGGAGCTCGAGCCACGGCGACGGTACAAAAAGTACAGGCTCTCTCTCCCCCGGATCTGGACGAAGACCACCTTTTGATTATTTGTCCATGTTTCATCCTCCTTCTCATCTTCCTAAAGGGGAAGGCCGCTTTTTAATTGCTGGAGAGAAGCGAATTTGGTGTGCAGAATAAAGTCACGAGTGATGAAGCAGAGGTGGGGGGAGTTGCGTTAACGAGGAGTTTTAGGAGGAGAGGGGCTCCAGCAGCCTTGGGGCCCAGGGGAAGTAGACAAGAGAGAAAAGAAAATTCGAATAAGTACTGCTGTGTGTGGCCTAGCTCACTGAACTTTAAAGCCTGCACACGTGTCCCGTGCAGAGGTACTCGGTGCCTGGGCATTCAACTGAATTCCTAGAAATGCATGGAATTTTTTTCCAGGCTCCAAGATCCGAAAGCACCCCTTGCCCCTGTACTCCCCTCCCCTCTGTCCCACCTTCTCAAAGACATAGAATTTCCAAAGCCTGGCGAGACGCAGACGGAAGGAGGTGGACCTGTCCACGCTTTCGTCTGATATACAGCACGGCCTGAAAAATGAGCCTGTCAGGATTCGAGACATTCTACACTCGGCAGGGGAACTCTGCCCTGAACTCTGAACCTTGGCATGATCTGAGTTTTGGGGCCGTGAGGTAAAGCTCATTTCAGGGGCTGGGCACCAGAATGAACCCTCGAAGGCAGGGGACACTGAGGCCTGTCCCAGGAGCCCCTGGAGATGTATGGGGCTGAGGATCCGGGGCTTCCCAGAGTTGGCCCCCTGAGTCTTGATTGCTATCCGAGGCCCTCGTGGCTTGGACACCTGTTCGGATCCAGACCACCAGACCCTTGTCCACAGCCCCCATCCACGGCCTCTGCCCCAGCCTACTTTCTGGCTGCCACGATCACGTGCCAAGGTTTTATTCCGGGTCCTCTCAGCAATACTTACACATTCCACCCGTGCACTTGACCTTTGTAGATATGGATTTTTGTCTCCTGTCCTGTGTTTGTAAGTTATTTTCCTGTGTCTGTCCTTTCTCTGTGGCCAGAAGGTCAGCACCTGTCGCTGGCTGGCTGCCTAGCTGTCTCCCCAGCTAGAGTCCCCGCTGCCTTCCAGGCTACCGTTTGAACCCAGGCTTACTCGTCACATTACTGTTATCAGGACAGAAAGCGGTCCACCTGCCTGCGTGCGTCTGAGCTAAAGAGCTACGTGCAGGTTTTGCAGCAAAGAAAGTAAGTAAGGTTTATCAGAGAATTGCAAGTCCTCTCGCTGGAAGGCCTGGCTCCCCGATGGCCTCTAGGGGATAGGTTAAATAGGGGAAAACTCATTAGTAGCTGAGGTAGTTGGGGTCATGGACCCTACTGATGGGTCAGGGCGGGGATGGGAGGCAGCCTTTCATTGCATCAGGTCCTGATGTCAGTCAGGCGTCATTCTGTCTGGTTTCAGGGGATGCCGGTAGGGTTGTTTGGCCTTCATGGGTGCCGAGCTGCAAGATGCTATCTTTAGTTTGACTGAAACTCTGTTTCTGGGGTCAATAGACCTGAGGTTTTGTTCCTAAGACTGATGCTGACCTCGGGATTCACTGACTAAGGGAGTGACGGAGCAGCAAGCAGAAGGATAAGGAACGAAAAGAAGCAAGTGAGCCCAAGGCCAGTGAGCATCGAGGAGAACGAAAAGAGACAAAGTCATTTTAAATAAGCGCAGATTTGCACGGTTACGTCGCTTAGGTGGCTGTGACTGCATGACCGTCTGCCCCTGGTTCTGTGCCCCTGCTCCGGGCACTGGTCACTGCACATGACAGGGGTCTGTCAACCGGCCCACTTCCCCCGCAGGACGAGGCACTCCCCTCCATTCTCTGGGCCCAGCATTGTCCCTGCCACAGAGTAGTGGCCTAAGGAAGGTGGCTCCCCATCGAGGCTCCCTCCAGCCCTCTCCATCCCCTCCTCCTCCCAACGAGCCGCTTTACTCACTCAGTTCTGTTGTCCACCTTCCCACTTCTCCCTTCACTTGCTCCAGGGGACGAAAAACGCCAGGCAGAGACCATGATGTTGCAGATGTTTTATTAGAGCCAGGGGAGTCACTCCCTCAGCGGAGAGGGCACACTCCTGTTCCCGACTCCCTACGCCTCCCTTGGGCTGGGTGTGGCTGTCCCGCCCTTCCCGGACCTCCTTCCCATTGCAAAGGGACATTCTGCTGTCTTCAAGGAGCGAGTGATGAATCAGAGAATTACTGTGACTGGGGCTGAGTTTGCAGCCTGGATCGGGGGTTAAAGGTGAGGGTGCAGGTGTGGGTCAGTTTGGGGGTGGGAAGGAACTGGGTTGGGATTCAGACGAGAGGAGGATTCAGTGTGACTCAAACGCTACAGGCCACAGCGACCTAAACGCCATCGTGCTTCTCTCTGTTCCCAAGCTGATGCCTCTCCATAGGGAGCGAAGCCACCTTGAACACCCCACTCCGAAGACCCTCCGCCTCTCCCAGCCACCTCTCATAAACGAAGCAGACACTCAGAAGCAAACTCTACATAGGCGGCTACGTGAGATTCGGTGCCCACGCCCCCCTGCAGCCCGGGGCCCAGGAGGATGGGGGCGGGGCGTCGGGGGCCTAGCCCTGGAACCCCAGCTCCTTGTACTTGGCAGCGATGTCGTTCCGGAACAGCTCCAGGGCCTTCTTCATGGCTCCCTGGGCATCGGCACCAAAGTCCCCGGGGTGCTTGCTCTGCAGGACCTGGATGATGACTTCCGAGATGAACTGCGGGGGAAGAGGAGAGGGGAGGAGGTCACTGGGCCAGGACTCGCCAGGAGCCAGGTGGGAATGAGACCGAGTCCCGTCTCCTTTTGCTCCCGGGGCCATTTATGGAGAGCTGATTACTTTCTAGGTGCTTCTGAGTGGTCTCTGTACAGCAGCCTCTGTAATCCCCACGACCCACGAGACAGACAGATGGGAAGCCTGAGACCCATCTCGGTACAGGTGAGGAAAAGTTAAGCCATGGGCCCAGGATCCCGTGGCCAGGTGGACCAGCCACCCACTCCCCTCCTCAGCTCGTTCTAGGAGGAGGGCCCAGCCACAGCCGGGCAGGAGCTGCGGGCACAGCCGCCATGGGGGTGGTGGAAGGAAAGGAAATGCTCACATTCCATGATTTTACCCAGGATTTGGCGGTCAGGAAATCTAGAAAGAAATGATTTCCATTTGCATGTATTTAATGTCTGCATTTAGTGGCCTAGGATGGTTATTGTTTTAAACAGCCTATCGCGGGCGTTGGGGGGAGGAGAGCAAGGTGCAGAGTGTCATAGTTTCTGTGCCAGGTACGGCGCTGGTACTCAGAAACATTGGCGGGAGGGAGGGAGAGAGGGAGAGGCGAGGAGCCAGGCCTGCGGCCCGCCCCCAGGACAGTCCCGTCTCCCGCCGGCCTCACTGCCACCGTCGCCTTTGCGCCCACAATGTCATTACCAGGAAGATGGCACAGGGCAGCTTCAGAGCAGGAAGCTCTCGTGCATGGAAGATGCTGCTGCTCTTTCTCCACGGTTAATCAAGATTTGACGCCAGCCGCAACGCTGGTCGGTGGGGTGCTGTTTACAGTGCCCCAGACGAAGAGGTGGCCAGACACAGTTCACGTAGCAAGTGGCCAGCGGAGCCGGAGCTTCGCACCCAGGGGATTACGAACCGCTGACTGCCAGAGCCAGGGGCAAAGCCGGCGACTGCACTGCAGTCGGGTTTTCCCATTATCTCAGGGCGCCTGGGGGTGCGGTGACCAAAAGCAGGGGTGGGAAACAATGTGCTGAGGGACACCTCAGAAAGCACGAGCGTCCACACCCAGTCAACGCCATTTGGCTCAGAAACCACCAACACCTACCTCCGGGCCTCCACTTGGGGACATATGTGAAGTTCACCTTCAGTGTCATAAATGCAACAAAACAGACTGCGGGGACAGGTGCTGTGGAGCCAGCCTTGTCCTTGGAGAACTTGGGAGACCCGAGTTCCAGGCCCAGCTCTGCCCTGACCCCCATGTATGACTTCACCTTTAAAAAGGGGGGGCTTCGATGACCCCACTGGGCCCCTCGACTCAGCCTTTCCTGAGTCCGTGGCAGAGCTACTAATATCTAGAAAATCGTGGGATGGGGCAGCTGGACGAACGAGAAAAGACAGTTGCCCTTCGCGTCCAGCCCCTTTGCAGCCCCTCAGGCCCAGCAGAGGAGGAGCGATGTCTTATGAAGAGTGTGGAAGGAGCTTCCTAGGTGAGGGGACCGGCAGGCACGAGGCTCTGTCTTAATCATTTGCAGTAAATTACACTGGTTTATGCAGACCTGGGCTCTATGCCACTAGCTGGTGCTGTTTTCTTGGCTACATTGTTTTCTCTCTCTCAGCCTCAGTTTCCTCGTCCCTAAAGAGGGGATCGGTCATTCCAGTTGGATCGTGAGCTCACCGCATGCCACTGGGCTTCGGCAATGGGAGAGAGCCAGGCTCTGCCCTTGAGGAGCACAGGTCCCATCAGTGGACAGCTGGGTAAAGAGATAAATTATAACACAGCCGGGCGGGTGCCATGACAGGACGAGGGTCAAGTGCCTTTGCTGGGGGGAGGGCGGGCGATGGAGCAGCTGACTGCCTTGTGCAGAGGAGGTGGCTTTTGAGCGAGGGTGATGGCCAGGGATTTGCCAAGAGCAATGGGGAGGGCGGGGCCTGCTGCAGGCACGGAATCTCCAAGGCAGGACCGGCTCCTCCCGGCTGCGGTGTTGGGTGGCCTGGGCAAGCAGGACTGTTTGCATGTGACTGAAGTGCTGGGGGGCAGGGAGGTAGGGGGCAGGAGGCGAGGCTGAAGAGGGGGGTGGTGGTGGTGGCTAATGGGAGATATTGTGTCACAAGAGATGAAGAGTTTGGGTTCCAGAATACCACAGATGGAGCTGTACTTCCTGGCTTATTAGCTGTGCGACCTGGGGCAAGCTGCGTAACCTCTCTGAGCCCTCCGTTTCCAAATCTATAAAATGGAAATTTTTTTCAAAGTACCTGTCTGGGGCAGAGACTGCTCACTGCCTGCCCCAATGTCCATGTTCTCCATCTTCCCTGGTAGCAGAACACTAATGGCATCTGGCATAGCAACAGACTACACTTCCCAGCTTCCCGTGCATGTAGGTGTGGTCTGGTCACTAACTTCTAGCCAATGAAGTATAAACAAAATTGTCGAATAAGATTTCTGGGACTCCTGAAACAAGAGACTTTCTGTCTTTTCTCCTGTTTCCTGTTTGGAATATGGACCAGATGGCTGGACCTCTAGCAGCCATTTTAGACCACGAGTCAACTTTGAGAAGGACGCCCCATGCCGAGGATGGCAGTACAGAAGGAACCTGCATCTCCGGTGACAACGGGGCTCTCACTCCAGCTCTGAACTGACTCCCTGAACTTCTTTCATGAGAGAGGAAGACACCGAATGAGATTTCTAGCCTCGCGGAGTCATTTTGAGAACTCCATGTGGTGACCCAGGCAAATGCATACCATGAACCATCCTAACGGGTAGCTATCACCATCGCCCTAATCCTCATTTCTGCACCAGCCTACCTGCTGCTCCCATCCCCAGGGGATGCACTATCCATACAGCCCTTTGTACCCCAGATCCCTAGTGCTCCTCCTCCCACTGGTTATAGAGATGGGACCTGAAGTTCAGGCTCCCCGCAGCCACACAATTTCTCAGCCCATCAGAATATGTTCAAGCCAGTTCCTTATGCCTAGGACACCTAAGGCTCTGCTTCTTCATCTGTAAAGATGCCGGAACCAGTAGAGCCAGCCTGCTAGTCACCCCGACCCCAGGACTGAGCTTCAGCTGCCAAGCTCCCTCCACGTGAGTCCTGCATGGCACAGGGCTTAGGAGCTGGGGTTCTGCAGGAAAACAGACCTCCTTTGAATCCTGGCTCTGCCTTTTGCTACCTCTATGATCATGGATGAGCTACTTAACCTCTCTGTGCCTCAGTTTCCTCGTCCGCTGAGTGGGTAGGACAAGGGGACCTACTCATGGAGAGAATGCAGGTTGTACTTAACCTCTCTGTGCCTCAGTTTCCTCATCTGTTGAGTGGGTAGGACAAGGGTACCTACTCATGGAGAGAATGCAGGTTCGCACCCAATGTCCACTCTCCCCTTCTTCCTCGGTAACGACACTAATTTGGGGGAGAAATATATTTAATCTCAATGATCCAGGAGGAAGGCAAAGTGGGTAACAGCCCACTTTGCAGATGAGTAGACTGAGGTGCAAAGACCAGTGACATAGGCCACCCAGCAAGTTAGTGGCTGAGCTGAGACTTGAACCCAAATCTCATCCCTTCGAGGCCTCTCTTCCCATCCTCCCGTCCTCCCATCTGCCCCTGGCCCTGCCTCCCACCTCCAGGTACTTGACGGGGATCTTGTGCTTGGTGGCGTGTGACTGGGCCAGGGGCTTCAGCTCCGCCTCATGCTGCCCCTTCTTCTTGAGGATGCCCCCCAGGGCGGTGAGCACGGTGGCACCATGCTTCTTCAGGTCCTCGGAAGCCTTCATCTCGTCCTCTGACTTCAGGTGCTTGAACTTGTCAAACTTCTCCAAGGTCTCAGGGTGACCCTTAAAGAGCCTGTGGACACAAGGAGGGCTGGAGTCAGATGCAGGAACACGGAGGTGGCCGGACTCCAGTGCAAGTCCGGGCTGCCCTGCTTCCCAGCTGTGTGACCTTGGGCAATTCACTTCACCCCTCCGGGTCTCAGCCTCCTCATTCAAGGCAGAGAGGTAACTAGTCTCTACCTATAGAAGTGCTGTGGGGATTAAACAGATCATGTATTCTGAGCACCACACAGTAAGTGCTACATAAATGCTGTCGTTATTTTTGTCATCTCCCTCCTCTTCATTGGTTCTGTGAGAGGCAGGAAAGAAAGACATCTCTGCATCGCACCCTGGCCTCATTTTCTCTAAGTTGCTTGGAATGTCGATGACAGAGAAGCATCAAGGGTGGAGCAGAGATGGGGGCCCAAGGACCCTGGATTTGCTGAGCACCTGCCAGGTCCCATCTGGAACCCGTGCCAGGTTCTGTACCTACATTTTCATCAGGGTCATATTCTCCCCCACTTTACAGATGAGGGAACAGCGGCTCAGAGGTGTGGATTCTAGCTCGATATTACAAGGCTGGTGTGCAGAAGAGCCGGAGCCGAAATCGGGTCTGAGTGACTGAAAACATAGCCCATCCCAGGGAACCCTCCCTGCAGCTTTCTGCCTGGGGATCATCCTTGGGCTGCTGGAATACCTCCAGCTACAGGAGGCTCACTACTACCTGTGTGAGCCCTCCCCCTCCAGAACAGCTCTCAGGCTCAGAGAGCTCTCAGTTATGTTGGGCCCAAGCTCTGAGTACCTGCACCTGCCAGATCCCTCACGGTATGAATGCTGGGCCCCTGGTGGGAGCTACGTGCTAAAGACCAGGTCTCCACTCCTGCCAGGGACCAAGTGAGTTGGCTGCAGGGGACTCTGCCCACAATCCTGAGCAGCCATCTTCAGCCTTGGGCCTTGGTCTCTCCTGCTGTGAAAAGGTGGATGTTGGTTACTGGGAGTCATACCTGACCCCTCGGTGGAAGTGATTTTTCTCCATTTCACTTTTGGGCCAACAGAAGACCACAGCAGTAGGCGACTAGCTCTGGGTGACGTGACCGCTTGGTGGCAGAGCCCAGACACAAACCCAGCATTGGACGGTTTCATAACTAATGCTATCTCCCTAGGGTTGCACCCTGAAATGTTTGCAGGAGGGACCCTGTCTGCCCGGGCTGTCTAATGACTTCAGTACCTTGGAAGGTTCCTGTTTCATAGGTTTCTGGCTCTGCAACATCCTTAAACTTGACTGTGGACACATTCCAGTTTGCATAAGTGTAGCACACAGCTGTACTCACATGCACACACACACAGACACACACACACACAAGCATGTACCATATAGTATGGACAGAGAAGTCCCTGCCCCGGGAGCTTCCCCAGAACACCCAGGGCTGTCCACAGCCATGCCCAATGTCACCCCCTCACTCTGGGGCCCTGGCCAAGCCATGTGTATGACTGACAGCTCATCTCTGGTACTTTTACCTAAGGGTCCCTGAGTTCCTGGCTATTATTATTGGACAACAATGATCCCTTGAACTCTTGCCTGACAGATGCGAGACCAAGCACCCACAGACGAAGGCCCGAGGTCAGGACATTGGAAAGAGACTATCTGGAGCAGAATGGGGCCCAGGACCTGGGACCCAAGGAAGCCAGGGACCTCAGACACTTTGGGGGTCCCCAGGGTATCTGGGGAAAAAACATGGAACTGAGAATTACAGAAGCTGAATTCTGGCCCTAGGTCTGTCTCCAATGTGCTGCGTGACATTAAAGAGGCCACTCAACCTCTCTGGGCCTTGGTCCACCCCTCTGTAAAACCCAGAGGGTTGGTCTAACTGATTTCCCAGCCTCCAAATTCTAAGGCTTGACTCCCGCCTCACCCTTTACTCTAAGCACCGGTCAGCCTCAGAGGGAGCCCAGATTTATTTTAAACGGTGCAGGAAAATTGGGCTAATTGGTGCCCATCATCACCTCTACACACTGCCACCCTCTCTAGGCCTCAAGTCCTACAGCTGAGAGTCTCCAGGGCAGCCACAGAAGGCCATGCCAGGATTTTCCTGACGGCAGCAACCCCAACAAGAAGCCAACGAAGCCCCTCCCCCTGGGGAAATGGGTGAAGGCATTTTCTCTAGTGTTTCATCTCTAGTTGTTGCCTTGTGTTTTTCATGTCCAATCCTACCATCGACTTGCCTAGTTTATCACAGGTCTGCAAGCAAGCCGGAGAGAAAGAAGGGCATTTCCCAGCTGTCCTGTGAACTGACACCAGTCGGACACCCACACAGAAGACTGGGGACTCTCTCAGACCTGCAAAAATCCTTCTTGGCTCTAGAACCAAAGAACCAGAGCGAGGATAGGAACTTACCACCACTGTGCCAAGATCGTGGGGCAATACGGCATTGTGGCTAGGAGCAGACGCGATGCATCCAAGCTGCCTAGATGTGAATTCCAGCTGCGTGACTTTGGGCAAGTTATTTAACCTTCCTGTTAAGCGTGATAATAAATAATATCTACCTCATAAGGTTGTTACGAAGCTTAAATGAGTTAGTGTATGTGAAACACATAACACAGGGCCTGGCAATCAGTGTGTACTGTATAAATATTTGCTGTCTTCCTCTTCCTCATTATCATTTCTTCCACCATCGTTATCTCCATCATCATCCTCATCATCACCATCATCATTCTCATCGTTACCATAATTATCCTTATCATTACTATCATCATCAACATCACCTCCATCCTCATCATCACCTGTGTTTCTATCCTCGCCATCACCAGTCTCTATCCTCATCATCACCTCCATCATCCACATCATCACCTCCATCATCTCCCTCATCACCTCCATCATACATATCATCACCTCCATCATCACCCCCATCATCACCTTTATCATCACCTCCATCATCACCTCCATCACCTCCATCATCACCTCCATCATTGCCTCCATCATATACATCATCACCTCCATCATAGCCTCCATCATCACCTCCATCATCACCCCATCACCTCCCTCATCACCTCCATCATCACCTTCATCATCACCTCCAGCATACACGTCATCACCTCCATCATCGCCTCCATCATGCACATCATCACCTCCATCATCACCTCCATTATCACCTCCATCACCTCCATCATCACCCCCATCATCACCTCCATCATCACCTCCATCATCACCTCCATCATCACCCCCATCATCACCTCCATCATCACCTCCATCATCACCCCCATCACCTCCATCATACACATCATCACCTCCATCATCGCCTCCATCATCCACATCATCACCTCCATCATCACCTCCATCTCTTGTCACCACCTTCAGCAGCACCAGCAGCAAAATCATTAGGATCAGGAATTCTCAGTTCTGCCTGTAGCTGCCGTTGGCTGCCTGAGACTTGTGGGCCATGTTTCCTCCCTGTACCATGAGGAGTACTGGCCACCAGCAGTGATTTTCAAATTTTCATGGCCTTGAAATCTTTTGTTCAAAGGCAAAATTAAAACGGAAAAGGTTTAGGCAAGAGAAGGCAAGGCAGGAACCTAGAGCCCACTCAGCAGCCCTCACTCCTGGAACCAGATTCTCCAACTGTCCTTCCAGCTTTTATCTTTTAGAACTTTATGATCATGTACTTGCAGTGAAGCCTCAGTATTTTATTAACAGGTGCAGCTGAACCGAACTGCCCTTGTTTATAATCAGAGCATAAGAAAAAAAATGACCTTTTGAAGGTCAGTAAGAAAGCCCAAGTTCATTATCTGGAGCAGAACCAGGAGGCTAGGCCCCACAGAGGCGTTGGCCCTGGGAATTAGCATCCTCTCTCCTCCCCGTCTCCATATCCCCAACACTGAGAAGGCAGAACCAGTTGTCATGGTCTCTGCACGTCCTACAGCCTAAGACATGATAGGGCATTGGGCCTTCCGGGGCCTTAAAGGGCCAGCAGCCTTAGGCATCACATCTTGTCCTTGGCTCCTGGCCCCTGGCAGTCTCTCTGATCCACCCTGGGAAGGGAGGAAATATTTCCCCTGATGACATAATACCCCAAGTCTCCTTCCAAACATGCAACAGCGTCTTGGGGCTGGCAACCCCAGATTATCTTGGAAAGACCTCTACTCTGCAAACGGGTCTCCCACCCTTACCACCTGCCTCCTCTCCAAAAACGGGAGGCTTGTGAATTTGGAGCATGCCAAGCCTGGGAGCAGGAAGGATCTCAGAGACCAAGGCAGATAATCTCGTCACTCCTCAAATAGGTAAATAAGACCCAGAGAGGAACAGTGACTTGTCCAAGGTCACACAGCAAACGGGTGGCTGAAGAGTTGACGTCCACTCGCAGGGAGCTTCTGTCTAATTGAACAGGACCTTTTGCAGCCCCAGCAACCAGATGACAGAGACAGGAGCAGAAAGACATAAGAAAATGCCCCGAGATCCCCTTTAGGGTCAACAGAGAACCTGACCATCCTTCTTCTGGTGTTTCTAGCATGGATCACCAAGGGCTCAACATCTGGATAGCGGGGCTGGCAGGACCAACTACCCTCCCCAGACGTGGGAGCTGGAAATGGGTGAAACCAGAGGAGACCAAAAGGGCATGTGAGTGGGACAGGAAAACCCACTCAGAAAGAAGGAGAAACTCATTTGTAAATTCAAGCACGAAGGACATTCACCCGCGGCATTCCCTGGCCCCTTCCTCTCAGCTGCAGCAATGTTGATTTACATACACCCCATTAGGGATCTGACCCGCACTAGCCGGGAGCATGAGAGAAGGGGCCAGGAGAAGAGGAGTGTCGACCACCATTTGGGGCGGAGGGCGATGGGAAAATTCTACGTGTGAGCCGCAAGCCATCCTCTATTTACAAAACTTGGAATTTTTTTTTTTTGGTTTCTTCTGGAATCCCTTGCTATAGAAAGCAAGATGTGTTTGGAGACCACACCACTCTGAGCTCTCAAATTCAAGACATACTCAATGTCAAAAGTTACTAAAGGGCCTTTGTCATCTGTTTTCTAATTATAATACTTTAAAGGTCACCTGGCTGGGTTTCATTTATAACAGTTACTAACGTCTACTGGAACTCACCGTCTGCCAAGAACTGTGCCGGGCCCCTTACTGCATCATCTTACTAAATTCTCACTTCTACTCTATAATATATATATATTCGGATGTCCCCCCATTGTCTAGAGAGAGGAAATTGAGACTCAGAGAGGTCGCGTACCTCCCCAAAGATCACGTAGCTGCTCAGTGGCAAAGCCATGTCTCATCTTGAAGGCCAGGTCTTAGCCTTGACACTTTACAGACTTTAACAGACTTATGAGTCTGGGGACATCGGTCCTTTCTCGTTTTTTTTTTTTTGTCCTCATCCAATAAGTGAGGCAGCTGAATAAGGTCTTTCGGGTCCTTGTAAACTCTGACTATAATTCCTCTTGGGTTCTAGGCATTCAGGGTTTGATCATAAAGCTTCTCCCAGATGCTGACATAGGTGTGAGATGGATCCCCTTTCCTCTCTCGACTCCAATCCTCGACAATTAAAAGCAAAGGAGAATCAAACGGGGGTGTTAACAAACTCAACGAACACAGCCAGCTGGTCAACCCTGGGACACAAGTCCCACCTTGCAGGCAAACACACTTGATCTTTGAGAAGGAGATGACAGGGACAATGGCATCTCTTCCTTTTACCTGATGAGGACCTCTTGCCCGTGGCCCGGGATGTCAGCCTCCACCTTGCCCCAGACGTTCAGCACCAACTGCCATTCTCCATCGCTGAGCCCCATGGTGTGGTCTGCAGAAAACAGGTAGAGCAAGTGTGGGCTCACTGGGTGTCCTGACCCTGACAGCTGGGGTTTGAGGCCGCCCGGCCCCAAAGGGATTTTATATCTCCCCCGATGCTTGACACAGATCACTTGACAGCTCGCTCGTTTCCCCTCCCCCTTCGTGCAGGGGTCTAATCTTTTCCTTTCTCCAGCCCTCACATGGAAGCTATTTTGGGGCAGGTGCCATTGTGGGGAGGTAGGACAATTCAGGCCATGGGGAGGTGGGGGCGGTTGTGTGTGTGGAAAGAGTAGGGAGGAGGTCGGGCCACTGTCTGAAGTCTCAGAAGCCAACAGAAAGGGCACCGCCAAGGCCGATGCCAGCAGCCTGAAACCCAACTCTCCCTGCGGTCAGCCATTCCAAGAGGAGCCGTCATGTTTCTAAGCTTGGGCAGCAGGTGCCCAGGCTGGCCCAGGGGCAGTCCTGGCCCCGAGAGTCTCCTTATCTTCATTCTGCTCACTTTGTCAGAATGCCCCTCACCCAGCCAGAAGTAACAAGTGGCCAGAAGTCTAGATGGTTTCCCACTTGAGCTGGGCGAACCCAGGCAAATCCATAACCTCTCTAAGTCTGAGTTTTTCCCACTTCGCCTGGTAAACTCCTGGCTTCGTGGCCTTGCTCAGATAGTTCCGTCTGAAACATTTTGCTTGCTGCGCCCCCCTCAAGGCACAATTCATTGCTTTCTCCTTCCGTTTGTTTACGTGTGGTCCTGTTGTATTGCGTACCTCACTGCACGGTTTTCCTCACTTCCATTCCAGCTCCTCCGTTAGTATAAGGACAGCCGATCCAGAGTCTTTGCTGGGTGCCAGACCCTCCTCCAAGCACTTCACGTTCGGTAGCTCATTGAATTCCCTCAACAGCCCTATCTGATAGATACTGACATTAGCCCCATGCAATCGAGCGGAAGTTAGGAGAATGTGTCATGGTCGCACAGCTAGTCTATGGAAGAGCTGGAATTTGAACCCAGAAAGCTGGGCCCCTGAGTTTATGCTCCTGAACACCTTATTTTGATGTTCATGTGGGCAGGGGCTCTGTCTTATTCATCTGCGTGCCCACTAGACCTCACATGGTACCAGGTTTGAATTGAATAAATGATCATTGAATAAAAAAAGATGGACGACCTTGCAAGGAAAGTAAGTGAGGGTGATTGGTCTTTTATATCCATTTATCATCCATCCATCCATGATCCATCCATGATCCATGCCTCCATCCTTCCATCTACTCACCCACCCATCATCCATCACCCATCCACCCACCCACCCAACCATTCATCATCTACCGTCTGTCCATCCATTCATCCAACACACAGTTATAGAGTCCCTACTGTGTGTCGGAAACTGCCACATGCTGAGGACAACAAAACCAAGTGAAACCCTTCCCTGTGTTCAAGAAACTCCCAGTATCCTTGGGGAGATAAGTAAGAGAAATAAACTTCCAGTATAGTTTATCTGGTGCTATGATCAACACGGAATGACAGAGGATGCTACAGTTTACGACGTACCTCCTTGGGCAGGACTATATCTAATCTTCACAGTGGCCCTGCCAGGTAGTGAGCATCGCCCCATTTTACAGCTGTGGAAAAATGAGGCTCAGAAAGAACAAGCAAATGCCTACTCCGTGCCAGGCGTAGGATCAAAAAGGAGGGCACCTCTGAGAGGGTCTGTTCACACCCTCAGCAGCTTCAGCTCCTCTTTCTGGTCACTTACGTCTGGTCACCAGCAGTGTGGCCTGCAGGACAGGGCAGGGCAGATTATTATCCCACCCGGCTGTAAGGAAACAAAGATTTGGAGCAGAGCTGCAACTCAAACCTGAATCTACTGCTCCTCTCCCATCTCCAGCCCCCTGAGTTATTTGGGGACAACCTGAGTATTTGAAAACTCATCGACTCATTACTAATGCCAAAGTGTTTAATATGAAGCTGTCACCCCTTGGCAGGCACCCCATTAGGTGGAATGCTCATGAAAACCTGCGGCTTTGAAGTTGACAAACCTCTTAAGTTTTACCATTTAAGCTTAATAGGAAGGAATCGACTGTTTGTCCTTACATCTCTACAACAGAACAGGCGTTACCTAATGGTCGCTATGGCTACCTGGAGTCGCCAGCTCTGTTTGGGGACTATAATTATCTCTGTGACAGCCTCTGACTGGTGGGGCATTCTGCCTTTATGTGCAAAACTTTCTGCAGCCTTGCATGCTTGTGTCACACACTCACACGTGCATGTACACAGAGGCGAGTCGGTTTGATACCCAACGGGGCAGAAGTGGATCCCAACAAGTCAGACCCGCCCCTTCCTCTTTTTCCCTTTCATATCACAGATTCCTTATCTGAAAATCTGAGACTTAGAGAATCATCCTCAAGTCTTCAAATTCTGGAGTCTTGAGATCCCAGAATTAGAATTCTAGAGAGCCAAAGTCTTCAACTTTTACCACTCTAGGAACTTGGGTTCTAGATTCCAAAACCATAGAAGGCAGAAAGAGAGAAGTCTAGGATTATACGGCCATAATATCTTGAGGCTAATAGAGGCTTTACGATGGTATCTTGTCTAAGTTCTCACTAAATACAGGAATTCTTCCTACAAATCATCACCTAGCATCTGCTTAAATACTCGTGGGAGCAGTGAGCTCACTACCTAAATCTTTAAAGGGTCTTTATATTGAACCAAAATGCATCTTTCTGTCATGCTCACCCCCTTGTCCTGGCTCTGCAGGCTCCTTGGGGATGCAGAGGATCAGCTGAGTCTTTCGCACAGGGGAAGCTGTAGGCTGACCTAAGAGTTTTCTTGTCCAGACTAAACATCCCCAGGACTTTAACGTACCCTCCCCCGGCCAGGTAAACCAGAAGCCCGTCTGGTGGGAAAAGACCTATTCTGTGATCTTCAGTGTCTGGCAGCCCGCACCTCTCATCACTCACATACACAGAGAGAACTCCCTAGCAAGGGGCTTCCAGCACCCACCACACAGGTTTGAGTCCCCAGGTGGCTCTGCCCCGGGCCCCTCTCTTGCAAGGGCAGTGAGTTCAGCCTGTGTGACCTGGGAACTACAAGCCCTCAGGCAGCCGACAATCCCTCCCAGTGAATCTGAGGGATTACGCTTTAAGATGCCACGGAAGGGGACCAAAGATGGA